TATACTTTTGAATATACTTCTTTCGGCAGGTGTCTTTCGCTATACTGGTCCATCGTGTTGGAGCTCTTCCACGAGCCCTCTTTTTTCTATATTTCTTACAATAATGAGTCTCTCTAAATTATCTGACTCATGTCTGATCATATGTCCAAAGTACTGAAGGAGCCGTTGCATGCAGATGGTTGACAGGCAGGTAAAAACCCGCCCTGAATGTGAAGACATTTAACTCGGCCAGAATCAGAGCATTTGTACGGCGCACTATCCTGTCCACCTTGTATGGTAACTTGATTAACCATACATACAATGCACGTGCACACCTTGATCTAAAAGTGTTGCAGGTCAGGGCGCACGTCTGATGGAAGAGACCAATCTGGTTTTCATTGACTGCACTGCTATTTACGTCAAGAAACAAGCTGAACTACTAAAGACTTAAGAATCTTACCTCCCCAAATTTGTTAAAAACAATACCCGTATCAACTTAATGAAAAATATTTACACTTTTTTGTCAAAGTCATAAATATAATGAAAAATTTTGACATTTAAATTGAGAATCGTCATGTTTTTGTAATCGGTTGTAAATAAATGATAATTTAAAGGCGTCGGACCACCGCTAGTTCCTTACACTGTGGTGCTTTTACATCCTACTAAAAACGTTTACCATGTTATGTAAATTGACTTATCAGTCACAAGTAAAAGATAAAAAATATTATGATTTACGGATATTATCTCATTCAAAAATTATATTGGGTTTTTTTTACCTCATACAAGTCTTTTACGTCATTGTTTACACATGGTTTATATCGTACGTTTTATTTACAAAATAAACAAATAAAAAAATACCTTTTCAATCGTACATTCTAGATTGAGTTAACGTGGTATTGATGACTGTGATGAATTGTCTGTGAAACTTTCCTCAGCAATTGAGGTCCCCGCAATATGTCTCCATCTACTTCTGTTCACACTCGAGCGAAAGCGTTTTGGAAATTATCTATCCAGAGGGAGACTTTGTACAAAAGTCGATTGCTTGGATATCTCTGTCGTCATTCGTGTTTCAACCGTGAAGCAGTTTTGTTTGCATGACTGTGTTTCAGTTTGAAGGGTGGGATATGGCGTGAATTTACAGGGTACAGAGGAATAACGCCTTAGCCCTCAGGAATGGCAAGGCATGGGAGGTAAATAAAAAAATCTTTTTTTTAATAAATTTCATAGAAAAAAAAAAACAAAAATAAACTTAATGATTTTAAAACACAGTTTATATTATTAACAATCTAGTAATAATTAGAATCTACTTGGGTATTAATTTTTTTTTGACGGGTGAAAATGGAATGGTATCCCTGCGTGCGCTAACGGGATACGCTGGCGGAGCACCAGTGAAGGGTGATAGATGAGAATGAAAACAGGCCAGTTAGCCCATCATGATGAATTCATCAGGAATTAACCATGATAGTTTCCATGGGGAACCGCGAGGAGGTCGACCTGGTTGGGTATATTGCTAGCAATGGGATTCTCAGTCTCCATTACTAACAATCCCTTTTCCCCCAACAGGAGGGTATTTACATTAGAAAATGCCTAATAATATAACTATTTAAAGCAGACGCCGCACTTTTTCCATGACTTGTCATTGGTCCAGACAACGCGAGGCTCAGAAAATGTATTCACTTGTAAATGATAAGCATGCAAATAGAAGCTCTACTGTATACTAATATCTACCATTTTCTATGCAAATCGAAGCACGACATAACTTCTTAACGGGATCAACGACCCCTGATAACGACTACAGTCAACAACTTGATGTATTATTATTGTTATTGTGTACCTATTAACTGTTATTACAGAAATTATATAATCTTGAAAACTGCTCCACCGATTTGAATGAAGTTTTGTCAATATGTATTGTTTGCTCCAACTTGAGAGATAGACTAATTTTTATTTTGGTACCAGTAATATACCTCATCAACCGTTAACTGTCCACCTCTCCCATAAGGGAGGTTTTGCCAGTAGTTGCCACGCTTGGCGAACAGATTGGAAACCGCAGCTAGGCTTTGGAGATGTTTTAAGAGGAGTACTGCTGCCCATCCCTCGCCCTCCCTTAGTCGCCTCTTAACCACACACAGGATAGGAAGGGGTGGCCCATTCTATGCCAGGACTACAACCAATTGAATAATAACATAGAATTAAATAATAATGCTTATACTATATGTATATTAAACTAGATGTCTGCTCACAGCTTTGCATGCGTGGTCGACATGTTTAAGTTAAAAATTTCAAAAGTCATTACGGTTTTAAATAAAGCAACCTACTTATGTTTCAAATTTCAGCTTTCTAAAGACTTTTCAGGTTTGACTGTGCGTTAACAGGACAGGAGTTGTCAGGACCGACGATTTTAAAAGTATACATGAAAAGGTCTCGCCAACAATACACCCATTAGCTACCGATGCGAACGTGTTTAGTCATTTGTAAAATTCGTCCTCGAACCTTAACCGTGACCGCTCGTTGTAACTCTTAGCGTGTAGCTTCGGAACCTACCGAAACTGATTTCTTCGTGACTGGCTCGTTTGTAGGCCGAGCCTAATTGTAGATGTAATTTTATTAGCTTGTTAGTATAAAATAATTAACTATGAATTTAGTTTGTGTATAAACAAAGTACTTATTTATTTTCTGATATATTGTTGATATGGCATGTTTTTTTACAACACGGGGGGCAAACGAGCATGCGGCTCACCTGGTGGTAAGTGATTACCGCCGCCCATAATCACCCACAACACTAAAGGCATTGCAGGTGTGCAGCCGGCCTTTTAACAAGGAATATGCTCTTTTCTTGAATGTTGAAGTTGATTCCAAAGAGTGGTTGTGCGGGGAAGAAAATGCCTTGAAAAACGCACGGTGGAGGACCGCCACTCGTCCAGATGGTTGGGATGAAATTTTAGTTTATGGCGAGTAGTACGATGGTTGAAATCAGCAGCAGGTATCAATCCGAACAATTCCTCATTATATCAGCCTTTAATTGTCCACTGCTGAACATAGGTCTTCCCCTTGGGAGTTTTGCCAGTAGTTGCCACGCTTGGCAGGTGGATTAGGTATTGCAGTTAAGCTTTGGAGATGTTTTAAAAGGGATCCTTCATCCTCCTTTAGTCGCCTCTTAAGACACCCACAAGAAAGAAAGAGGTGGCCTATTCTATGCCAGGACCACGCGGCAAAGTATGGCGTGTATGATGTCCTTTAATCCCGATCTAATTTGTCAACATACATTTGTCACAAATTTAACATCAAGCTTATTGTCGGTTATTGTATTATTGAATGGTGCTGAATTGTCTGCTTCGATGTTTTCTATGTCTAATAATAGAAAATAAAAAAAAAATGAAAAAAAAGTTTTTAAGATCTACATACTATCAATTGTCTAACATTTAAAGTACAAACTCTGCTTAGTTTAGAAATAGATGTCCCTGTGTAATGTGTCCAGTGTTATTATATACTGTTTCTTTCGTACATACCGTAGTATCACCTATCCGCTTAGTGCAATGACCTGGTGCAGTGGTGGCAGCAATCCCGCGTGCTGCAGGCTAGTGGGTCGCCAGTTGATACCTACCACCCATCTGGTACCGCGTACGGCACGCACCACGCGCTAATCCTGACACCGCCCCCGTTCACACTCGACGCGTGGTTTACTCAATTAACTCTAATTATTACAATCACACTAATAACACCTGGAGGTTTGCTTTATGAACTATAGCCTCTCCATTTTATGGAATTAAATATCATGTAGGTATAACATATAAGTAATTTTTCCCTCGGCTTCACTTTTTCCATATATTCCGTTCCCGAATTTCCAAATTACAAAATCTGATTTCTAAAATTTCTTTGCTACATCTTACACTCGTAAGAAAGATTTATGCAAAATTTCTTGTTTCTAGACCCAGAAATTTTTGAGTGTGCATTGATTAATCAAATCCTTTTTTTATATTTATGCATAACATAAAACAATATCCGTATATTCTCGTATGAACACAACGTATCGCCACACCTTTCCAAACACAATGTCGTAATACACGACACACGACTAAGGAAACAAAACAATACTCCAGCGCGAGAGAAGTATCACAACGAAGGCCAAGCGGTGATTATATTTTCTATATAACTTAAAATAACAAACAAACTGACAGCCCAACTGATGGATATTAGGCTAGAATTGTTTATTCCCTCCTCTAAGGAAGAGAGACGTCTCTCTAGTAGTGAGACGGTTGATTAACAATATCAATACAGAACATGTTCGAGTCAAGGTTTTGTCGCTTAATTTCTTAATAACATTTGCATAACTAACTACGTCATTAACCCAATTATACAGTAGACATGTTAAGGGTAAGCATATGGTGTAAATTTTTGTCAATATTAATTACTACATAACATAGCGCGGTGGCCACTTCGTGAAATCATTAATCTAATTTGTATTCTAAGCAGTTACAATAAGTATTATTGTGCCGTTATAAATAGGTAATCGTTTGTCATGTCAGGTGTTAATTGTCCAAAGCGGCAGTCTATTAATAGGGGGTCAATAACGATCAGAGACAATTGTCACAGACAGTCCGCGAAGCATCTGTAAGCAAACGTTATCAATAACACTAATAGCAAAAGATAGAAAAAGAAACTTTTTTTTTTTTATACAACTTAGAATGGCAAACAAGCTGACGGCCCACCTGATGGAAAGTGGTAACCGTCGCCTATAGACATGAGCAGTACCATGGACATAACAGAGTATACTGTTTCGCCCATGATAAACTTAAACTTATTGTATCAAAATATAAGAAATGTTAAAATTTACCTTAGGACGTGCAGGTTTTATACTAAGAATAAAAGCTGACGGTCAAATTAACTATATTGAAAGTGAAACTAGCATAACAAGTTTGTTTGGTTTGCTCCTATGAAATAAGCTTCTTGCATTAAAAATTATAAAGACCTGTGCTGTCCTCCTGGTATGGTAGGTAGGTGTAGGAAATAATAAACAATAATATGTCACAATGCGACTCACACGACCACCCGCCCGGACGTCACCCAGAGGAGTGGCAGGAGCGGGGGGACTTGCAGTCTCAACTTTAATGAGTACATCACATCTCTCCCTTTTCAAAATATTTTAAATTAATAATAGAATATGAATATTTTTACTCTAGGAAACTTAATTATTATTTTTTAAGCATTTTTGAATAGTCATTTTTTTTATAAATCTACCGCCCATTCGGAATGCAATTTCAGCTAAGAAGAACGGGCAAGAAACTTAGCTGTTGCTTTTTTCAAACAAAGTTGAATTTACAACAAAATGTGAAAGGATACAATTACTCACAAATTTCATATAGATACAACTACAACAATATAGTTTTACATTACAATCATAGGTAACTAAAATAATATCATGATATTACCATATATATTATGTTACAAAATATAACTTAGGCAACTAAATATAATAAGACTGGTTTGTATAAAAATAACTATATGACTATTTCCTCTCGAAGTCCATCGAGATCTTTCTTTTCATCATCCTTATAATTTCTTACTGATCTTCCATCTTCTTAAGTATATTATTGTGTATATTTCATCTCAATTCTTGTCTAGTACCATATTTTCTTATAGATATAGCGCCAATAAGTATATGTATACAGGGATTGAAGTATCGCATATATATTTTCTTTAATTATATTCCGAATACACTTTCTCCTATTTTCAATATCTATGTCACTATATCTTTCCCTTCCAATTTTAAAATGTTCTTTTATTGATTTGTCTCTACCATTCTAAATAAATCTCATTATTCTTAGCATTTACAATAGAAGATATTTTATCTCTAATGACAAATCAATAATGTGGCATGATATTGTAACTTATGAGGTATAGCAGGAGTTTATCCCTCCAGTCAGATTTTGGGTTTTAATTTATTTGTACACGTATTATAATGTCACATTTTTGTATTCTACTTGCTTCGTTCTACTGCGGTCAATATGGTGTCGAATAGTATAGTTTAATACCAAATTCTAAGCAGTTATCCAATGTTGTGCTGAATAAAGTGTCAAGTCTTGTAAAATTTCTTTTACTTATGTACTTTTAAGAAGATTTATGGTCTTATACTAAGTATATCAGAATTCCAATTAATAATTCCTACAATACATATACTGACAATATTAGAGACGTTACTATTTATAATCTCAATATTTACATAAGTATGTCACATTTATTATAGTTTAGACATCGATTAATTTTAGGAATGTTACATAATATATTGTTTTAGATCAGATGTAATGTAGACAAAATTTTATTTCTTCATGAACATTGATTACGACATCTATTATATGTACCAAAACTGATATCAATCCTTTGTACCTTGATACATAATCTACTGTTTACGGCAACAGTGCCGGGGTGCCAGAATAATTATCCTGAGTCGTAGCGAATGCTCGTTTACGCTATCTCAAATGAAATAAAAATAGAAAACCATTAATAAAGGACTCAGAATTCGTATTTAAAGAGTTTGTAATGATTGACTTTAAGGTTCAGTTTTCCTGGGAGCATCTAACTACTACGTGCATGGCTTATAAAACTTAGTATCCACAATTTACTAACTCTTTTTGCTTGGAAATTACGAATTACTGTAAATGTTTACTTTTCTTTCCAGAACTCTGAACACAGTATATTTAGCGAGCTTACGCCTTAACATTTTATGTATTTGTTCAATCATTGTAGCCAAATTTTGAGTCCATTTTCTTTTATTGTGTACCAATAAATTGATAAAGATAGATAAGTGTGACTGTGAACAACTTGTAATTTAAGATATTGATAATATAGAGTTGTATACATATCTCTAAAATATTTACACATAAAATCTAAATAATATTATAACACATTATCATATTTATTTCTCAAAATAGGTTACTAGTTTTATAACTTTAAAATTTTCCAAAAACAATTGGTTTTCTAAGTGATTCTATAGTCTTTAGGGACTTACAAGTAATACTTTCTGAGATTAGCTCATGCCCTAAAAATTCTACTTACGATTGATTAAACATGAACATAAATCCTTTATTAATACATTATTTGTAACCTACGTGTACGGATATGTAGGTATATTATTTTGCCTTACAAAGTTAAAATACGTTGAACACATTTTTAAACTTTCGCGTTGTGAATCGCGAATTTAAATAGATATAGGACATGTTTTAGCCTTACATCATTTGTTCGAAATTAAAATATTAACAAACAGTTAATCTTGTGTAAGATATTCAATACATGTTTAGGTGTCTTATTCATTTCCTTTATTTGGGATTATTTCCAATTGTTACATTTAAAACATTCATGTGTATATTAATATACCTATTAGTTGGTGGTTTTCATGTCTTGCTACAAAACCGTGACCAATATTTGTTTATATTTAAACTAAAGTAAGTCTCTGTTATTAAAAATAAAGATACTTAAAGTAATAAATTATATTTATATAATTTATAGATTTTGACAAGTTAAATTACAAGTACCATTGTTACACAGACTAAATAATATAATATTTAGTCACTTTAAACAGAGATTTAAATAAACAGAGTTTTAATTATTTATTGTAGTAGGTTCGTAATCGAAACGAAATAACCACTTGCTTGTTATAAAAAGTTAAGTACATTCTCTCTAATCTCAATTTGATAAAAAGCATCTTTTAAGCCAGGTTTAGATAAAGATAAATTTATTTGCATAAACAAATAAATTTATCTTGTTGTGTGTGTGCAGTAAATACATATTAGGTATTTTAATTATGTAGTAATTGTAACATGTTTTTTACCAAGATTAGCATGCACATTTTTTGTTTAGGACTTTTCCCTTGACAGACAGATTTATATTCCTTTTTTCTATTCTTTAAAATAAGTATGACTAGAGAAACTCAATTCGCAGCTTTGTCTATAAGTTCGATTATATTTTCTGTTTATTTGAGCTATACTATTTTATTTTACTAAATACTTGATTTTATGATCAATATCTAACTGATGTTCATTTAGATATTGAATTTGAATTTTGGATTTTTTTGTTTGTTTTGTGTTTAGTAAATTAATATACAACTTAATTGTAATATATAAAGAATCATAGCAGTCTCTTAGGTACACAATAAGCTACGAGTACAATTTTTCTCTACTTCTTCCAAATCCAACCAAGACTGACATTTTAAATGGGCCCAGTACATCAGCGAGTCTTTAGGACTATATGTCCTAGAATTTTGTCAGATTTTTCTTGGTTAGTTTTTTTTTAAGTAGTCCTAGGTTTTGTCGACTATTATTATTATTGTTACTTTTGTACCCCAATTGATGGGTATGTTACTTTTGTACCCGAATTAATGGGTATGTTAGTTTTGTACCCGAATTGATGGGTATGTTAGTTTTGTACCCGAATTTATGGGTATACTAGTTTTGTACCCAAATCAATGGGTATGTTTAATGTAACTCCATCACTTTGGCAAGATATATATTTTATAGTGGAATAGAGGATGGTTAACATTTAGTTCCACCATTTTGACAAGATATTTTATAATAGAATAGAGTTACACTTAGTTCCACAATTTTGGCAAGATATTTTATAATGGAATAGAGTATGGTTAACATTTAGTTCCACAATTTTGGCAAGATATTTTATAATGGAATAGAGTATGGTTAACATTTAGTTCCACAATTTTGGCAAGATATTTTATAATGGAATAGAGTATGGTTAACATTTAGTTCCACTATTTTGGCAAGATATTTTATAATGGAATAGAGTATGGTTAACATTTAGTTCCACAATTTTGGCAAGATATTTTATAATGGAATAGAGTATGGTTAACATTTAGTTCCACAATTTTGGCAAGATATTTTATAATGGAATAGAGTATGGTTAACATTTAGTTCCACTATTTTGGCAAGATATTTTATAATGGAATAGAGTATGGTTAACATTTAGTTCCACTATTTTGGCAAGATATTTTATAATGGAATAGAGTATGGTTAACATTTAGTTCCACTATATTGGCAAGATATTTTATAATGGAATAGAGTTTGGTTAACATTTAGTTCCACTATTTTGGCAAGATATTTTATAGTGGAATAGAGTATGTTCAACATTCAGTATGAATGTAGTTATAGGAGAGTTGAATGATTGTTTGGTAACTTTATTTATTTTTTACTTGATGGATTATTTGGTTTATACTATTTATTTCGCCATATAACTAGCGCTAGCACATTCATGCACTTATTTCGATTAGTGCGATATTGCTTTTGACCTAAATGGCTTATAAATCCACACTTTTAGCAGAAGTTATTTCTTGCAACACATTAAATAACTATTTTGATATGTACTCTCGCATTTCATACACCGTATATTCTTTTCGTTTGAAATCTCTTTACAAGATTTGGTTTCTTTGGTGTCCTTTTACTGATCTTTCATCAGTCTCTATTGAATTGCTTCCACAATATTTATTTCTATTTTAGTAGAATTATCTTTTAACTTAAGATCTGAGGAAATGCATTTTTCTACGATTTGACAATTGAGATGTCATAATAAGACAATTTGCAAAACGGGAATTTTATGGGTGGTACATTATTTATACGTATTTATATAAATACTGTCAACTAATGATAATCGACAAATAACCAATTATGTTACTATTATTAATAAATATATTAACCGTATATCATAGTCAACAAATGCGTCTGACTACCCCGTCAAGGATTGAATCTAAATGAAATATTATAAGTTATTATTATTATATTTTTTTCGAGAATTTTGTGTTTATAAATGATTATACTAAAATGGTTGTTCTAAAACAACCTGAAAAATAAGATGTTGCTGATGTCAACATTAATTATTTACACATACGAGTATTTACAATTTAAAAAAAAGAATCTGTAATTCAGGAATAAAGGCTATTTTTATTTTATTTTTTATTAAATGATTATACCTACCTACCGTAATAATGTATGCTATTATAATTGTAGGCAACAATATTGTAAATGCGAATACTTGTACTTGTTGTACAGGTGGATAAATGGATTATTCTCAGTTACAAACACAGCCTTTTGAACTTATAAACCAACATAAATACGTAGGTAAATATATGTGCCCCAACGGCGAAAGGATAACCAACTCAGAATTAAGCAGAGAACTACCGGCAACGCTAATATTCTGCTGGTTCCTTGTAAGAAAAATAAAATCGTAACCTCAACTCTTACCAAATATCTGTCAAATAATGAAGTTAATGTGAAGTGTTTGAATATATCATAATTATCTTATGATAATTACATTTGTATTAGGTTTATACCTACATACAAATCTATTTATTATGGAAGCAACCTCTATAATCGGAACCACCAATTGCATAAACTTCTTGTATCTAAATAGATTACAGTTTATGTGGAATTATGTATTTGATGGGCTTTGCTCATTCGGATTGTACGGTGTATTTTATTTGTCAGAATAATTACTCCGACTCGGCTAATACATGCAGGCACATTTTGTTGTATGTATAGTCAGTATTCGCTGGTATCCCCGTACCACTTATCTTAAGAATTCAACTGTTATAATCACTTATACTGTGATGTAAATATAAACAGAAAGCTTGCGGTACGATATACCTAGACATCAACAAACGCCGACCATTTGTTTAGGCATGTATAGCAAGTTATTGTACGACTATGATGCGCAAACGCGTTAAAATCAGTCACAGTGTGTCGCTAAATTACAAAACGTACTATGCACCGTAATATGTTTTATCAATATTTTGCTTTCTCTATACAATTTATAGAATCAAGTCTTTATTTCTTTTTGAAATTGCTTTTAGTCTTTTCTATATTTAATAAATTGATTGAGAATTAATAAATTATCTTCTCTCTTCCTTGTGAATTTAGAAATTTACCAGTTTAATGTTATTCGTGTCAAGTTACATTAAAATAACAACGCGATAGTTACACACTCTTTGGACTGATTAGAACAGGTAATTTTGTAGTCGTATGACATATATATATATATATTTTTTTACTTACAAATTTTCACCTCGTCGCCAATTTTGTGCTGTCCTCCTGGTATGGTAGGTAGGTGTAGGAAATAATAAACAATAATATGTCACAATGCGACTCACACGACCACCCGCCCGGACGTCACCCAGAGGAGTGGCAGGAGCGGGGGGACTTGCAGTCTCAACTTTAATGAGTACATCACAAGACCCATTACTGTTTTCTGTAAAAATCCATATATTTAGGTAAATTTCAATAGACTGTATCACCAGCGAAGGACTGAAACGGTCAACAAACGAACCGCATGGGTTGAAGGATCCTACTTACATCTTATGAATGTAAAATTATGTGAACACGTTTGGATAGTTTTTGATGATGTAATAAATTATGAGCCACTAGTAGATCATGTTTTAGATCAAAACATAATACTTTTAATGCTAATTCACACCTAAACTGTACGTTTTATTTATTTATCCATTAGTACAAATATGTGTACATGGCGGACTTAATGCTAAAAGCATTCTCTCCCAATCAACCATAGGGAAGTGTCAGAATACTCGAATGCGGTACTACTAATTATTGATATACATACATACTAAAGTTACATATAGAAACGAATAAATATATATATATATATATATATATGAATAACAAATATACTTACACATATATATTATACACGTTTCTATCAACATTGCCAACACAGTATCGTTATACCAATAGGCAAGAAAGCCTAAGTTGTTACGAACTTTGTCAGGCCTTTACTATCAGAGAAATACTATAGTCACTAAAGTTTTACCATAGAAAAAAAATAAAGAGTATTCTTTTATCTATGGTTTTACAACTTTTGGTATGGTAGCTACAGCTATACACCTAGAATACTAGTATACGAACGTTGTCCAGATTGAGGCCAAGGGAGCGACAGCGCACACGTTCACCCGTTCCCAGTCACTGCACACATTTCATGTGCACAGAGTCAGTGCCTTGACCCGTCAGCGAAGTGGCTGACCCTTGCACGATGTATATACACATATATACACACGCATTGTGGTCGTGACGATTTATTACCGCTTGTTAGTAGAAAAATCTCTGGGAATGTTTGCATTACGAGTGTAAGCGACAAGCCGTGGCCGCCACTACGTACGCGTGACCAAAACGTTGATTGACTAGAATGAAAATTAGCTAAATGTCCTTCTACTTCGTGTATGCCGGCTCCAAATATTGTTGCTTATTTTAATATATTACTATATTCGCTATTTAATAAACTAACAACGTTACGTGTACCTACTCATGTAGATGATCATGTTGCAGGTACTCAACAAGTTTCGCACTACGGTGTTTTTATTTTATTTGATGGGTGAAAATGATATGGTAACCCCGCCTGCGCTAACGGGATACGCTGGCGGAGCACCAGTGAAGGGTGATAGATGAGAATGAAAACAGGCCAGTTAGTCCATCATGATGAATTCATCAGGAATAAACGATGATAGTTTCCAGGGGAAACCGCGAGGAGGTCGGCCTGGTTGGGTATATTGCTAGCAATGGGATTCTCAGTCTCCATTACTAACAATCCCTTTCCCCCCGCACTACGGTGTTGGAACTATGTATGTGTTCATTTACTTTTTAACAGTCTTCTCAAAAATAATATTCTGTCCGTGCAATTGTGTCTTTTTGTTTGTATTGAATTGAGAATAAAAATAAGCTATTCTTTGTACCTGAATTAACATTTAGACAATAAGCATTCACTTTGTAATTATTTACAAAAACAATTACTCATACAACCAAAGAAATAAGAAGAAGGCATTGTTCTTCGTATACATATCGTCTGTTTCTAGCAAATAATTTCTAACAAAGTAATAAATAACACAACACGTCTCAAGCATTTCAATATTATAGTGTTAAAAAGTTAACGTAATCAGAAAGAAAGCAACAGTAACGATTTTAATAAGAGGTACCTTCGTTTATAACTTGTCTACTTTCACTCACGATATCGTTAAATTTTTATTCGTTCTCTATTTCTGATTTGAAGCTACTAACATTAAGTTAAAGGTGTAATTGCAAAGATAAGACGTAATAAGTATAGTAAGGATAGATATGTGGAAATCCTTCAATTAAATATCAACGTTCGTGGCTTTAAACTGTTTATTTGTAAATTAAAACAGCTCATATTATTTATGTATTTATATTTATTCGCATGCCACATGGTACCAATTAGTTATTATAATAAACTAGCAGCCCGGTACGGGCTTCGCTACGTACGAGTATAAAGTGAAATAATAAAAAAAAATATTTTAAATGACCGCACGAATGATATATCAACATGCTTGTACTGTCAACACTGAAAAAGTTTCAATTTGACAGCACAATGCCCATCTTAAAAAAAGTTTGAATTTGACATAAAAATCCCCATTAACAAAATGATCTGCCATTTATTGAATTAATTTGTTACAAAAAATGTGACAAATGAAGAACCGCTATTTTGTGCAAACTTCACATAAACCATCTACTAAATAGTCCGAACAAAGCCTAAACATTTGGTTTGGATAGGTGAGCCCGTTCTTAAGTTATAAAATTACAACGAAAAGTGGCATTATTTTTTATTGGCACATACATAAGACACGTGACACTTCGTAAGGGCACCGTAATTTACAGAGAGAATAAAAATAATATTATTAATAAATTATTTTTATAATATTATGAATAAAATGTAATAACACATATTAGGTACTCATCTTCAAAAAAATCATTTAATGTATAAAATGTTCGCTGATTAACTTCTAGAGATCAACGAAATTTAAAAAATGATTCATTTTTAAGTTATCCATAACAAAAAATCATATCTTTCCTCTTCATAATAAAATTTTAAACACTCTTGCACTTTGGTTGTCCATCAACATCAACATTATCGACAATTGGCTAATGTACATTGGACTGTACAAGTACATACAAAGATAAAATACCTCGGCAAATAAGACCTAAAATCTTCCATCAATGAACGTCAAATCTATGACGAATATCAAATTACCGCGGGGTCGTTGACATGTTGCTGTCAAGTCAGCAAGTCCGGCGACGGCGCAGCCACACCGCGCCGCCACTCGGTACCATCAGAATAAATACCGGTACCATAGCACCAAGTGGTTACCGTTTATCGACCCAAGCAAATGCAACTAGGAATGGCGCCGGTCGTAGTAGGGCCACGCCAGGCCGCGTCTATGGACAATGTAGTTCATGATAATTCTCTATTTATATTTACATATACTATGATTCCCGGATATTTCCCGGATGCTAATGGTTACAATTTGTGTGTGTACCTACCTGATCAAATGTTAAACAGACAGTCTTTAATATATCTTTAAGTAGTAATATAGACATTTGTAAATCTACTAATTACAATGGATTCTTTTTTATACAACTTAGAATGGCAAAAAAGCTGACGGCCCACCTGATGGTAAGTGGTAACCGTCGCCTATAGACATGAGCAGTACCATGGACATAACAGAGTATACTGTTTCGCCCATGATACCCCCCATGCATCGCCATTCCTGAGGACTCAGGTGTTATTCTTCTGTACCCTGTAAATTCACGCCATATTCCACCTTTCAAACCGAAACACAGCCATGCAAACACAACTGCTTCACGGTTGAAATACGAATGGGACAGAGGTACCCAAGCAATCGACTTTTGTACAAAGTCTCCCTCTGGTATGTATATAGAAATATCAACTAAAATATGAAAAATGAGTAATTAAAAATTTTCGAAAAGTACCTAGCACAACTTAGTGCGCGGTAAAACGAATGGTAACTGGTAAGCACTGGCCCCGGCATGACGTAAAATCACTCATATACTATTGGAATATGATTTACATGTTTTAATATTTATAAATTTGTCTTTATTTTAAAGCACCTTAGGTGCATTTGGACTGGTGTTTATGTATGCACCTACACATGAAATAGTTGATGAAACCTGAAATGATATTAGGACCAGGGGTGAACAAATAAGAATAAAATGATAAAAAATATTTGCTACACTTTAAAAAAAAATATTATATCTCGATATGGTAACAATACTTGCAATTTATCTGCAACTGTTGCTTATGACGAAACAAAGTTCCCAAGAAATCAATTTCTAACTTCCTATCAGAATGGCAAAAGATTGGATTTGTTATGTTTATAATAATTAAATTTAGAACGTGATTGATAAGCAATATACATTCGGATGTCGTACAGAGAACAAGCAAGTAACTGACTGGTATGAGCGAGAGCGTGTAACGTAAATAGTGACGTCACGGTGCGCGGTGGTGCGGCGCGGCGCGTGCGCAGCTCGACGCGCACTTTCTCCGCGCGGTCACGGTCAGCCTGTAGGCGGGATTGACACAACACCGGAAATTACAATCCTACAACTGGAACTAGTAATATAAATGGGACTCCATTATCAGAACTTACTTGGACCGTTTTCGTGTTTTTTTTAACTCAATTTAAAATAGTAAATGCTAGCGGCCTGCCTGTTAGAAAGTAGTAATCTTCACCTGTAGACATGAACTCGCAGTATGGACTCGCAGAGTACTCTATGACAACTGTGGTATACCTCATGCCTTGCCATTTCTGAAGATGTGGCATTATGCCTGAATCACATGGGGAGAAGGGATTGTTAGTAATGAGGAGATTAGTCACCATTGCTATCAATATACCCTTTCAGATCGACCTACACGCGGTTCCCCCTGGAAACTATCGTGACTTATTTATCGTTGAATTCGTCACGATGAGCTAAGTGACCTGCCTTTTCATTCTCACCTATCACCTCTCACTGGTACCCCGCCAATGTATACCGATAGCGCAGGCGGGGTTACCATGCCATTTTCACCCATTAAAAAAAAACCGAAAGACAACCATGCTAGATATTTTACGGATCATTATTTTACGAAATATAGATATCCAACCAGACGATTTTTGGTGTAGAGTAATGAGTAATATACCTATAACCAACTAAAGCGAACACCCTGAAACGATGAGTGTGGACTGTAGACACACCCGCTCGAAGCTTCCTCAGACCCTACAGTGCAGGGTGATTATAGTGATGCCATAGAAATTAAAATCAAACCTCCTTTTTAATTTTTTCTATATTTCAAATAAATAGAATACAGAAACTAGATGTGCACTTCACACAGAGTAGGTGAATTTTTTTTTTTTAATAACAGAAGGCAAACGAGCATGTGTCTCACCTGATGGTAAGTGACTACCGTCGATCTTGTTCACCCACAACGTCAAAGGCATTGCGAGTATACTGCCGATCTTTTAAAAAGGAATATGCTCTTTTCTTAAAGGTTATGATATAAATGACAGAGCTGTAAGCATATGAAAAATTTGCTTTATATTTGACTGTAATATATTTAGTACATTGTATTAAATTTTTTTGTTGAAAAGTCGAAACTAACTAATGGTCGTAATTTATCGTGTTATTACTATCATAATTTATGAGAAGAAGCTTGTTAGATCGTCTGAGCGAAACAGTGCACGCTTCAAAGTAAATCGGTGTTTGTTGGAATGCACATGACCTGCTTCCAGCCAGACTCCACGGACATGAAACATGTTTATGAGGGTTTGTTTACGTCTATATAAGATGCTTTGTAAAAAAAAAAAGAATTCCAATTTTAAAACTAAGATTCTATTTTCAAAGTATAAATTAAAAATCGAATATGCATGTTTTAATTACAGTTTCTGTCATTATATAATTAATAATTAATCAAATTGTCATTAAGAGAAATAAAATTGCCTCGAATTTTAAAACTAGGCTTGTATATATACGATACCCAGATACAAAAATAACAAACGGATATCTGCCACAGTGTCAACTATTTAACTATTGTTCCCGCTAGCCAAAAATATCTGTATTAAATTAAACAAGGCATTTTAAATAAAAAAGAGTGTCTTGAATCAACTTTCCTTTTTGTTTGTATATGGAAAGTGCAAATTATAATTCGATTTTGATGGTTATTTTTTAATTACAGAGTTTCCTTGTTGATCTTAAACCTAATGAGGTACTGAATATGACGTAACTGCTAACCGTGGACCTTGGGGGAGAAGGGATTGTTAGTAATGGGGATTAGTAGCCCCATTGCTAGTAATATACAATATCAGGTCGACCTTCTCGTGGTTCCCCCTAGAAACCATCGTAATTGATTTATTGTTAGATTTTTAAATATTTTTAATATTTTATGCCTTACTAATGACATTTGTAAATTGATTGTAATGTAATTTTTGACAATTATTATTGGTTATTTTGTTGCTTCATATTTTTTTTGTTTTATTTTATGATATCTTCTTGTCACTTGTAAAAATATTCAACACAATGCAGTATTGTAGCGAATAAAAATAAATTGAAATTGAAATTTGTCACGGTGGCTAACTGGTCTGCTTCATCCTCACCTATCATTCCTTACTGGTGCCCCGCCAGTTTATACCGATAGCGCAGGCGGGGTTACCATTCCATTGTCATCCATTAAAAAAAAACCGTGAGCCTTCCCTCATACACATGACACTGTATGTATAGTGACAAAGTTTAACATTTTAATTATAAATTAGTTGTTGGTTGACGTCACAAAACCAATTTTACCAATTACCGATGGCAATGTTTATGTTTTATTTTCACCGGGACACTATTTATAATAGGCAATTATGGGCAATCAGTGCGAGCGCGGCGTCCGGCGTCCGGCGTCCGGCCCGCTAAGCGCTAACCTCACCATCGATTACCATCACCAATTCACCACTCACCACTCTCCACTATAGAACATTAATGAATGCCACTCACGCAGTGTCTATTTCCATTTTGTTTGGGGTCGATCGTTTGCGACTTTAACTGTTTATTGATCTCGAAATTTGAAGGAAAATAACTGTTCTGTAACGCTTCTAGTTGTCTGAAACTAATGAAACAACAAGTACGAGGTGATTTTGTACCACAAAAAAAAAACAGCAGTTTCAGACGTGACAAATATTTGAGTTAATTTGTTTATTTATTAGCTTTTACCAACGGCTTCGTCCGCATTACTGGGATAACCTCCGACTCAAATTTCCCACTCATTCTTCTTCCTTTTATTCTAAATCCTTTACTGTTCAGGCAGTTCGTCTATGGAACTCACTACCTACCTCTATCCGGTGCGCTCAAACTCTTACTAGCTTCAAAACCTCTGTTAAATCATACTACCTCTCACTTTAGTACTATTTTCCTGTGTTCTCTCTTCGTTTTCCTTCGTCATTTTTTTTTTCTGTTGTATGTGTGCTGTTAAGTATGTGTATGTTATGTATGTATTTAATTGTATATATATTATATATGTATGTGTATATATGTATGTATATATGTTTGTATATGATAATATTTATATAACAGTGCGCCACCTACCCTTTGTCTTTTTCTCAATGTCCTCTACCCAAAGGTTGTCTGCAAGAGATTGCTCAGCGATAAGGCCGCCTTTTGTATCACTTCTCATTAATATTTACTGTATTTGTTATTTCTCTTTTTACTTGGTGCAATAAAGTGTAAATAAATAAAGAAATAAATATGTTTACTGTGATAAAAAGTAGTCTATATCTTTCTCCACCCCATATAGTAAGTATATAACAAACTTCATAATAATGGAAGGAGAAGGGATTGTTGGCTAATGGAGATTTTTTCTGCAACTTAGTATGACAAACAAGCTTACAGCCCATCTGATGGAAAGTGGTAACCGTCGCCTATAGACAGAGTATACTGTTTCGCCCATGATACTCCCCATGCGTTGCCATTCATGAGGACTCAGGTGTTATTCCTTTGTACCCTATATTATTTCACGCCATATTCCACCCTTCAAACCGAAACACAGCTATGCAAACACAACTGCTTCACGGTTAAAACACGAATGGGACAGAGGTACCCAAACAATCGACTTTTGTACAAAGTCTCCCTCTTATATATTTTTATTATTATTATAAACACGTCCACGTTTCACAAGGCGGGGGGAAATTATTAGTAATGGGGACCCCTATTGCTATCAATGTACCCTGTCTGCCCTAGCCCCACACAGTCCCCTGAAATTTTTAATTGGTGGTTAATTCTTGACTCATCACAATGAACCTACTGGTCTGACTTCATTCTCACCTATATCATTGGTTTCCCGACAACGTATATAAATAGCATGGCGAAGCTACCGATCCATTATCATCCATTAAAAAAAACAGAGGGACATTAATGGGTTATTAAAGTAACTAAGTCGTGGTAGTGTACAATTCGCTTACTCATGCTTTTTATGAGTCTACTACCTCTGCCTATATACATACCGCGTACCTAGCGAATAAAAAATAAATATGCTCACGGCTATACACCATAATGGAAATGAAATGAAATGAAACGAAACGAAACGAAACGAAACGAAACGAAACGAAACGAAACGAAATGAAATGAAATGAAATTTATTTGCTAGAAACATTGTAGAAAAGGTGTTGCATTTGTGAAGTTTATAAGATGTCCATTATGTTTCGCCACATCGAATGGCATGCAAATATTAATTATTGAATTTATCTATTTTCTATTTTATACAGGTACATCATATATTTAATTTTCAATTACATATACAATAAATCACTATTAGTACGAAGTGCCACTTTGGTCATGCATTACAAACAGTCAATAAAGCTACTACAAATAATAAAATGATAAAAATGTCAAATAAAATTAAAATTACAATTTAAGTTTCAACTAAGTCAATGTCACAGCATTTATATTTTACAAAAACTCATTAATATTGTAAAAATTATTTTCTATTAACCATGTTTTCAATTTTAATTTAAAATAATTTAATGGCAATTCTCTTATTTTTTTTTTTGGTATCCTATTATAAATTCGAATAGCCATTACACCCCAATTTTGTTGATGCAGCGTTGACTTACAGGTGGGTAGTTTGGAGAAGTTAGAGTTATTTGCTGGCCGATAACCTAACAGTGTGGGGGGAAAGGGAGTTAGTAATGGAGATTGAGAATCCCATTACTAGCAATATACCCAACCAGGTCGACCTCCTCGCGGTTCCCCCTGGAAACTATCATGGTTAATTCCTGACGAATTCATCATGATGGGCTAACTGGCCTGTTTTCATCCTCATCGATCACCCTTCACTGGTGCCCCGCCAGCATATCCCGTTAGCGCAGGTGGGGTTACTATTCCATTTTCTACCAATAAACCTAACAGTGTAGGGTGGAGGTATTATTAGCAATGGGGAGGTTAGTCCACAGATAATGTAATACTACTATGCTAGTTATTACTATCAATACAGCTTATCAGGTCGACCTCCACACTACTAGCAATATAGTTCGGCCTCCACGTGGTACCCCCTGGAATCCATCGTGCTGAACTCCAAGTGTGTTCAACACGATTGGATAACAGACCTGCTTTCATCGTCACCTATCATCCCTCACTGGCGTCCCGCCAGCGTATATTAAAAAAAAATACGTTAATATCTCTAGTTATATCTAATTATTTATGCATGATACGAGGAAGGCTTCAATTAAACTGAAATAATTTTCATAAACCGCTCAAGTGCGTTACAATTTGTGAAATATCTATTTATTTATTTATTTATTTATTACATCCACTGGGTGAGCCTTACAGTCTTCCAATACGCTCACCCAGGAAAACATGAGTACAATAACATACAAAAACATATAAAAACAACATACACAAAAATATTAAACAAAAAATATAAAAATTTTTAACTAAAACAAAAAACGTCTGAACACAAATACTCTGTGGTCAGTCGACGAAACTCCAGCAAGTTGGAGGCAAATACATCCAATTGCGGATACTGGACTCAATATGGTCTTATCTCCTAATGTTAATATAATCGACGCATAATTAAGTAGTCGAGTACCAACTGCACTGAACTATCACATCAGCCGTTAACTGCCCATTCCTGAACATAGCTTAACCTAACCATAAAAGAGGTTTTTGCCAATAGTTGCCATGCTTGGTAGGCGGGTTGGCAACGCAGCCTGATTTTTTGCCACGCTTAGCAGGCAAGTTGGCAACCATAGTTAAGCTTTGGTGACGTTTTAAAAGGAATGCTGAACCCAACCTCGACCAACAAGTTCCCTTGGTCACCTCTTACAAAACCCTTGGGAAAAGAAGGGGTGGCCCATTCTATGCCGGTACTACACGATAATTTTTATAATATTATATATTCATTGCTTTGTTTCTCTCCTGTAGTTCTCATATTGATTATGTACATAAAAATGATTTAAAAAAAAATACTTTTATTTTTTTAATGTTATCTAATTTTTTTTATAAATCTCTAACCTGTATTTCGCGAGGGAAAGGGATTGTTAGTAATGAAGACTGAGAATCCTATTGCTAGCAATATACCCAACCAAGTCGACCTCCGCGCGGTTCTCCCTGGAAACTATCATAGTTAATTCCTGATGAATTCATCATGATGGGCTAACTGGCCTGTTTTCATTTACCATTCAGTTGCCATACCAGTTTCACCCATAAAAAAAAACCTGTATTTCGCTACACATGAATGTATAAGAGAATCTTTACAAATATTATAAATGTGAAAGTGAGTTTGTTTGTTATCCCTTGTCACCTTAACGGCCCAACCAGTCATCATGGAATTTAACATACACGTATTATTTGGGATGGCGAAGAACATGAGAAGTTCAGTCTAGGTCGTGGGCAAAAATCTAGTATTATAATATATAAATAGTATATTGTTTTATAAATTTACCTTGAGTTCTCTTTGTAAATTGTATAAAATACTGAAATGTTTTATATTCTCAGACAAGAAGCTCCATTGTCGAGAGGCGGCAGTGGAAATGGCGTGCATGGCCCAGTGCGCCCGCAAGGCCACGGCTCGCGCCTCCACCACCGTCTGCTGCCTCTACTTACTATAATAATAAACAAATAACCATTTGTCAGACCATCAACCTCATTTATCACAGAATTTTTCCGTACCTGCTGGCTCATTATCATTGCTCGACGAAGTGGAACCTTAGAAAAAGTGAAAAGACAATTAAGAATCAATTGGACTCGTTCCATTCGAAAGATAATTTTTGTGGTCATAACAAAAAGTCAAGGTGAGAGACTGCAGTGGCTGCAGAAAAACCAGACAGAAGGACATTTTATAATGATGATTATGGAGCCCGACAATTCCAGCAGTTTAGGCACGACTGATTGCATAGTCGTATTTGTATTTTTATATCATACATTCAATAAAGATTGCTAGATGCAGTTTTTGAAAAATCTCTCTTCTCTCTGCCTGACCTGCATACCCTATGCATATTGTAATGAATATATTTACTGCAAAACTCTCAAAAAATTTCACGAAACATAAATCTTTACCCGAAAAAAATATATCAAATCTGCCAATAGGCTAGTATTAATTACAAACAAACAGAAGCAGGATTTTTTTATGGATGATATTTTTTTTTAATGAGTGAAGATGGAATGGTAACCCCGCCTGTGCTATCGGTATACGCTGGCGAGGCACCGGTGAGGGATGATAGGTGAAAATAAAAGATCAGTTAGCCCATCGTGATGAATACACCTAGAATTCATCAGAATGGTTTCCAGGGGGGACCGCGTGGAGGTCGACTTGGCAGGGTCTTACTAGCATTGGAACTCGCAATCCTCGTTACTAACAATCCCTTCCCCCCAGGCAGGATTTAGATTGTTACATCTGTGCGTCATCTATATTAACTACAGTTGGGACCATTCGAATTAGAAGTTTATTTTTATATGACCATTGATAAAACAAACAAGCATACGGCCCACCTGATGGTAAGCGGTTACCATAGTCTATGAACGGTTGCAAAGTCAGTGACATTACGCGCGCGTTGCCAATCCTGAAGAAACCTCTTTACCACTTTTTTAGAGAATCCAATGAACGATTTGTCGTAAACTCTATCTAACAAGAAACTCTTATCTTCTCATCAAAAAAAAAGTATAGAAGTATATAATTATAATTTAGATATGTAAATCTTTTATCTAAAGAAGATGCCAGAGGGAGACTTTGTACAAAAGTCGATTGCTTGGATACCTCTGTCCCATTCGTGTTTCAACCGTAAATCAGTTGTGTTTGCATGACTGTGTTTCGGTTTGAAGGGTGGGATATGGTGTGAATTTACTGGATACGGAGGAATAACACCTAAGTCCTCAAGAATGGCAACGCATAGGGGGTATCATGAACGAAACAGTATACTCTGTTATGTACATGGTACTGCTCATGTCTATAGGCGACGGTTACCACTCTCCATCAGGTGGGCCGTCAGCTTGTTTGCCATTCTAAGTTGTTTAAAAAAAAAGATAATTTCTAACCAGCGCATGTTCCCTCTAAATCTTGCTTTTATAACCTGATACACCACCTATAATCTCATGTATATTGTGTACTTATCTTGAAGAAACCTATTTCTTTTTTTTTTTGTTTAATCATAAGAATCTGTAAACTATAGAGTTTAAATCTTAGGCCCTTCAAAATGACTCTCGATGTTTAACGTTTGTTATCAGGTAAATTGGTTATCAGGCTTTTATACTCTGGGACCTGTTGTGCTTATATTTGTGTACAGTAAACGTCGTGTAGGTACATCAGTGACGTAGCTGTGGGTGGGGAGGGCCAGGCGCACGGTGCGTCTGCCGCGGTCGCCGTGACATCACGACGCACATGTGTACGTGTATATAGCTTGACGTTATCTTCACAGTGACACGTGGCCACGTAGTGTGTCGCACTGAGTTCAGTTAGCGGTAAATATAGACGCAAACCGTGTCATAAGTGGACAGGACAAAAATAACTTTAGTCTTCATTAAATACTTTATTATGTGGGCTATTAATATACTGTACTTTTTTACGATGATATTTTATTTATAAAGAATCAGAAAACGACAAAATATTTCGAGCCTCCCTTTATTTATATTACGGTATTTCCAGTCATTGAGTTTAATTGTTCGTAACACTTTATTGTACAGTTAAATCTTAAATTGTAGGAGAGTGGGGGGAAAGGGATTGTTAGTAATGGAGACTGAGAATCCCAATTGCTAGCAATATACCCAACCAGGTCGACCTCCTCGCGATTCTCCCTGGAAACTATCGTGGTTAATTCCTGATGAATTTATCATGATGGGCTAACTGGCCTGTTTTCATTCTCATCTATCATCCTTCACTGGTGCTCCGTCAGCGTATCCCGTTAGCGCAGGCGGGGTTACCATACCATTTTCATCCATCAAAAAAAAATTGTAGGAGAGTTCTTAAGAAAAGAATGAGTACAATGACGGACTTATCGCATAAAAGGGATTTCTTCCAGTCAACCTTTCAATGTCTAATAGAAATTGTGAATTGGAGGAAAGTTAGTGTGAGTAGCTTTAAATTTTTTGTCATAAGTCGAGAAACGTTTGAAAAATATGTTCAGTTTCTCTGGTGAAATACTTTTTTTTTAAAAAGGTGTTAATGATTTTTATTGTTCCTGCATAGTTTTGTATCAGTTTTTCAGTCCGGGTGACACATAAACGTATCTATTCTGATTAAATAGTGTACTCTACTGGAGGAATCGTCATCATGACCCGACGTACTTATAGCCATGAAACAAGTTGTAGTTCGTACATATTTTAGAGAAAAGGATATTTTATGTATATGTTTATGTATTTTGTATGTATTGTATGTATGTTATAGTAAGCAGTTTAATAAATTATATGTATTTGATATTTTTATGCATTACAGATTTTTGTATTTTATGCACGAAAAATTATTAATTCACTCTTGCACCACCTGCCCATTTCTATCTGTTCTCCTTTAACCAAAGGTTGTCTGTAAGAGATTGCCCTAGCGATAAGACCGCCTTTTGTACTCTTTATGTGTATATTTCAATGTGTATTTATGTTACTGTATTTCACTTGAATTATTCACTTATATTTTTATTTATGGGGCAATAAAGAGTTAAATAAATAAATAATAAATAAATATTTTAGCTATTAGGCCAAAGCTGGTGGTAGTGGTGAAAATTGTAAACAAACATATGATTTATCTAACTTTTAATCAATTTGAATATATTTAGGTCAAAGTTTAAACTAGTAGTGTGTTTTATTTAAGTGTCTGTACAAGTCATCCATTCCACACGTGGGAAGGACCCAATTTACAGCAACGGCAACCGGATCCATGAATATTTCGTTCAAACGATAAAATAATACATCCTACACAATATTATATAGGCGATTGTCCGTGTATCCGGAACCAATCGAGTCTGAACTGAAGGTCGCGCTCGTTATATACCATAGATCAGGATGACGACCGACAGACAAAATGACAGGCTCCACATTCACGGCGGCGATCCGTGAAATTAGCCGAGCTGATACTAATTTTGGTGTATTATGATCGGTTTGTTGTGGTTACACCGCTGACTTTGGCTTGACCTTGGCTCGTGATATTGAAATGTATGTATAATCTATATATGGGTACGTCCATACTTAGTTATTTAAAAATATTAAATATATCTATATAGGGGGGAAAGGGGATTGTTAGTAATAGGGTTAATATCAGGTCGATCTCTTCACGGTTCCCCTGGAATCCACGGTGACTGATTCATTAGTGAATTTGTGATGTGCTAACTAACCTGCTTACATCTTCACCTATCATCTCTCTCTCGTGTATATAAAATATGTGATAAAATATATACATATATATATATATATATATATATATATATATATATATATATATATATATATATATATATATATATATATATATATATATATGTACTAGCTTTTATCCGCGAGTTCGTACCCATGGATTTTGGAAACTTTAGTCTCTTCAATTTTCAAAATTTCTTTATTATTATTCACCAAAGTTATACAAAGAATCTATATGCATATATGGGTCAGTCAGTCAGTCACTCAGTATCCTCTTTGATATACAAGTATATAGATCACGGGAATTTAATAAATTTACCATGTTTGTCGTTGCCAACAATCAGTGGCGGATTTGCAGTCTTGGCCGCCCTAGGCCCCAGTCCATGTAGTAAGTACCAGCCAGCCCTTTCTCAACACCCATCATATTGAGTACATAATGAATTTACTTTTTTACCAACTTTTATCAAAATCTAAATGTAATTAACTATAATATCTGCTAGTTTGTAATATTTTCCAAGGTTTCCTTTAGTTATACGTATTTTGATATTCTTGTTATCATTGGTGATTTTTTTGTTACCATTAGCCGCCCTTAATATCTGGCCGCCCTAGTCTCGGGCCCCCTGGGCCTTAGGGCAAATCCGCCACTGCCAACAATTGTTACAATTTCTTCTGGAAGTCTTCTTCAGGGGCGTACAGCCTACAGCATCACATCTCACGACATCGTTAAAAAAATATAAATTTTGTAAATAATATTAAATATTCCAAATATTCTTCTACTTACTGTACTACTGAATATTTTATACTTTGCTTAGAAATGCTAAGGAATATGACCTTACCTTCTACCTTACCTCAGCCTCCGTAACGTGTTATTTTACTGCCATATCTCACCCTTGAAACCTAAAGCAACTATGTAAACGCAACTACTGATTAACGGCAGTAACTGGGGGAAAGGGATTGTTAGTAATGGAGACTGAGAATCCCATTGCTAGCAATATACCCAACCAGGTCGACCTCCTCGCGGTTCCCCCTGGAAACTATCATGTTTAATTCCTGATGAATTCATCATGATGGGCTAACTGGCCTGTTTTCATTCTCATCTATCACCCTTCACTGGTGCTCCGCCAACGTATTCCGTTAGCGCAGGGGGGGTTACCATACCATTTTCACCCATCAAAATAAAAAAAAGGCGGTAACTACCTCTGATACCTCTGATGTAAAGAAATTTCTTACGCACCTAAGAAACTTTTTTTTAATGGATGACAATAAAATGGTTACGCCGCCTGCGCTATCGGTATACACTGATAGGGCACCAGTGAAGCGTGATAGGTGAGGATGAAGCAGGTCAGTTAGTCCATCATGACGAATTCAATATAAAAATTGTTCACGATGGTTTCCAGGGGAAACCACGTGGAGGCCGACCTAATAGGGCATATTGCTAGCAATCGGGCTGTAAAACTGCATTGCTAACAATCCCTTTCCTCCCCACCTAAGGTACTGTAGAGGATGTTCCCGATTATCCCCAAACTGTATGACGATATGTGATGACGTCACGCCGGGCAGTCCGCAGACGCAGCCGGTGACGGCATCACCTCGCGCGCTACAATAAACTCGACCCTGGGTTAATG